GCTGTATTTTCTTGCTCTAGCCAGAAGGAGAAATGTTATCGAATTAAAGTTCTGAATATATTAATATTTAAAAGCTACACATTTGAGTTATACTGAAAGGTGCAGTTATGGCAGCCCGTTCAATAATATTCGATTCGTATGTTTATGGATCGTGTAGACAATGGAGGCTGTGACGCCAACTGTCCTTTTGGTGCATTTTCTGAATATTTCTAATTCATATCCCCCACAACATTGTATAGTGAGTAACTCTGCATATGAGCTTTGCAGGCAACAGTGCTCATTTCAGCTTCCTGATGGGCTCTCTCAAACGCCACATTGTGAACCCTGGCGGTGTCCTGTGCGTCAGGGGCTTTTTGATTTATGTTCAAAGCTGATGGAGACCAACCTCCATATCCAGGGTGCACTGTTGCATGTAGAAGGAACAACATACACCAGACAAATGGAAAAGTACGTACAACAATATTCAGTGATATTCTCTTGATTTATTTTGAATCTTTTTGAGGTTTTGCTGCGCCTCTGAATCGGGCCCATCGTGACTGGCTGTTGTGTGCAAAGAGCTCACAGGCCAAAATATTTCATTCATTTGGTTTCCATTGAAGTCTAAATTGTACTATTGTTCCGGTGCCATGTTGGCCAACCACAGTGCAGGTCCTGCCTGGGCGAAGGTATCGGTTTCCTCCTTGCCCCCCAGTTGCCGCTGGCTGTGTGATATCACCATTAAGGAATGGCAGGCTGCAGTAGAAATTTGCCCATGCTGGGGCTAATTGAGTCAAAGCCCCAGCAGCTCCCCATGCTGTAATTAATGCCCCTGTCGGCATGGCAACAGGCCCTCCTGAGCAATGATGTCAGTGCGTGCTGCCAAATGTTGGGGTTAAACAGGGTTGGGGAGTTTGTGGGGGGCGGGGTCGAGCTACGCCTGGCGTGTCAGCTTGTGTTTGTGTGGAGATAGCAGGCCAGCTGCTGAAAGAAAGGTGCTTGTAAGGGACATTAGCGGGCGAATCGAGTTTCTCCTGAACTGACAGACAAGATACCGCCTGCCCGCTTGTCTGCCTGCCCATATGGTGAAAGATGATGTCATCTCTTTTGGCTGTTGCCATTAATAGCTAGTGAAAGACAGCTCTTCCCTCACAGCTTAAGGGGCCAGAGCCCAGGAATAGCTAGCAGTGTAAAGGCTGTGCAGAAAGTCTATTTAAAGCCCAGTAAGTATAGCTGAGACCTTGTGAACTTGCTGTGCACTCCATTTCCAGATTAATACATAGCTACAACATTTCAGTGTTTAATTCTGGTTTACTTCAGGCAGAGACCAGTCTAATAAACAAGAACACGGCTCCAAAAAATGGTTGCTAGGGCATCGATGTTGTACAAAAAGCTGTGACAATGATCATCACTTGCAGTCACATTATTTGCTGTTTTTTTTATCTGGCTTGGCACATTTTCTGATTATTTTCTGAAGGTCGCGATTGTGTAAGTGTATTACTCACAGCACAACTGACTAACTGGCTCCAGGCTGTAACTCTTCCCCTGAATCACTGATATGCAAGACTAGTCATGAACCGAGTGCATCACCTCATGAGATGTAGTATTTTTGGTTTGCCTTCTGGTTATCTGAGCTTGTGCTGAGGTCCGAAATCTTCTGCCTTCTGAAGCCATCGAAGTTGCACATTAAGGAGAAGCACGGTTGTGTACAGATGAATGAAGACGTGGGAGAAATTAATGCCATCCTGAGCTGAGAACGTGTTGGGAGGGGGGATTAAGTGCTGAAACGTATAGACAAAGAACATGCCAGCATTTCTAAATGGAATTTAAATTCTAGCGGAGCTTGATCCTGGCTTGCAGAATATTTCTGCTTTGAGTGCATGAAGTGCGTTTTTTGGCTTGCGTGACTTCCCAACGTCCTGCGTCTCGTCAGCGCGGCAGCTGAAGCCCTGGGCCGCCGCGGGCGGGGGGAGCAGCTGCTGCCGGCCGCGGAGTCGGCGAGCAGCAGGCAGGGAGAGGTCGAGGAGCAGATGTTGTGGTGTTGCAGGGGCAGAGAGAGCCCAGCGGCGGGCAGACCGGTGGGGGGGACGGGGGCAGACAAGGGCAAGGAAGGGGCTTTGTGAGGCCCGCTCCATCCGTTGAGGTCAAAGAGTAAAAAGCTCCCCCCCTTTCTTTTCCTTCACCTTTCCCCACATTTTTGTTCTTCCGTTTCCTTCCCTTTCTTTCAGGCCAACGTGTTCCCTCTTTCCCGGCCCGTTTCTCTCCCATTTTCCCCACTTTCTTCATTCGTTCTTTTCATTTTGTGATTTTGAAGGTTTCATTCTGCATGCATCGTTCCGCTGTTCCCCACACCCCCTCTCCTCGCGCTCTTTCTCCCTGGGGACGTGCAGGCCAGGGTTAAGCTCTAATCCAGGATGATGTCATTCCTCCGGCTCCCTGCCTTACTTGGAAACGGGGCTAATGTGTCCCAGATTTGAAAAGCTGATTTGAGATTAGGCTTTAAATGTATCTGCCCTGCTCATGTTTTCCTTGAAGTACTCCCTCGCCAACTGAGGTCATTCATACTCCTCTTTCTGTCAGAAATTACATAGCCACTTTTCAGAACCTCGTGTGAGTGTGTCACAGCGTGGGATCTCCGTCTCTTTTGTTGTTTTCTTTACTTGAGATGGAGAAGATCTTTAAGGAATCATGCACTGGATGACTGGAGTATTAAAATGCTGGTAGCCGCAGTCCTTAACAAGTTAATGGTATAATTGTTTAACACCAAGTTCTGATAGACTATAATTGCTGCACTATAGGGTCTGGCTAGTTAAGTGCTTATATGGAAAAAGGAAGCTGACGGCTCAAGCCCAGCTATGTTTTTCAAATGACACGTAAATCCTGTTTTATGCTACTTAGAGATGATACTTGAGATGCATAGTTCACACCCTAATTCCTGATACATAAATACTGGGTAACATTTCTTCAAAGCTTCATTTTTTTCCCCTTCTCTTATGTAACTCTCAAGCAGTCGTTTCTGTGATTAAAGGGATTTTTTGGATTTCTTCAGTGTTTATTTTGGGGGGGTTTTGGAAGAAGCTGCGGAAATTTTAGTTTTTTAAAAAGGAAGCATGCTGCAGTGAGTGGTAATGAGCTGAAACAGTTGCTGTATTAGAAGTCTCTGAAATTGCGTCTCATTGCCAGATGTGCAATAAGGTTTTATCTCTGCAGAGCTGTAGCTCCCAATTCTTTCGAACTTCAACCAGATGCTGTTATGCTTTTTTGTTGTTGTTGTTGTTGTTGTTGTGGTTTTAATAAAAAGGCCCTTGCAGAAAGGGGTCTCGGTAGCACTGTAGCACCTGTGGCCAGCCTCATTCCCCAGGCCTGATGCAATGGTAGAAGAGAGGAGATGAGGTAATGCAGGAAAGAGCTCTGAAACAGGATCCGCCTAGGTTTTAAAGGTGCCGAGCTCAGATTTCTTGTGCCCCACGGAGTGTTGCTAACCCTCTGTTTTTTTGTCTTTATTCGGTCAATCCCCCGCTGACTATATGACTGCCTTGAGCTAACATGTTTTCTTTCAGCAACAAGAAAACGGCTCTCATTGTCCAGAAGAAGTGCTTCCAGTTCAGATTCGTTTGCTGTCTGTCACTTTTTCTTCCTTTTTTTTTTTTAAAGTGACGTCGCACACTTAAAAAAGAAAAAGCTTGGGTGGTTTTGGGTTGGAGAATTTAATACATTAAACAGCGCGAATCACTAAAGGTTGTTTCAGTGTGGTATTCGCCAAGAGTAGTGTGATGTCAATCCCAGGAGTATGGTGTGTTTTCCATGTGTGTATGGTGTGTTGTAAAATTGTGGTGGCAGTTTCTGACTGATACTTCATTAAAGATCCCACCCCAAACCAGTCTCTGTGCCCAGTACTATTATGCCTGTGCTTCACTCAGCAGTTATTGTTTTTTGGAGGACGTTTTTTTCGATAGCCTATTCCCAGGGTGTCTCTGTGCAAATCTGTTTGTGACTCATGCCACAGAACACCAACAGCTGGTGTTAACACTGAGCGATGAATCGGATAGTCTTCTCTCGCCTGTTTATGTTCAGGTGCTTTTCTTTGGCACTACACAAAAACATATAGTGCCAGCTTACGTCGGCTGCCATTGTATCTGTCACTGGGAGGAGATCACAGAGATGAAGTCATAATTCCCCCCTGCCTCCTCGCCACACGACTGTGCTTTCCCTCTCAGAGTGGGCTACCTGCTGGAGGGAGTCCACACTTGCACAGGTCACAGACAGCAGCACAGGGGTGCTGAGAGGCACGATACAAACACCACTCTTCTGGTTTTAGTAGTACGGGTTACATTCATGAGAAGCTGTAACTCATCAGTTATCATGATGACATTTTGTTTTCTGCAAGGTGGCTTTGCCGGTTCTCAAAACAGGGTTTAGGGGGAGGAGACTTACAAGAAAATGAAACTGTTTGGCATTTTGTACTGTTGAAGGGCAGCGCTTTAAAAGTAAATACTATATTTTTTTTAAAAAACATTAACCTCAAAGCGGGTTTTGGATTGCACATTTCACATAGTGAAATTAATAAGAAAATATATAAAAATAACCTAAAAAATAAGATATAGCCAGCAGCTATATAACCCTGTAACTCACAACTATTGACACTGAAGCTCAGCAGGTGTGAGCCTGGCCAGTACGTGGAGGGGAGACCTCCTGGCAAAACTATGGCTGCTGCCGGAAGAGGTGTTAGAGGGACCAGAAGGGGGCGCTCCCTCTCTAGTCTGTGTGGGTCCTGATGTCCTAATGTAGTGACGGGGGCACTATGCTGTAAAAAAGGCGCTGTCCTTCAGACCTAAAACTCAGCACTATGTAAGTGTAAGGAATTATTATTATTGTTAAAATAATTTAAACTGGTATTACCTTATGGTTAAGGACGTGCTTCTGGATAGTGTTGGGAGCGAAATGCCTGTATTTTACCAGAGAACAGTGGGTCAGTAGTTCAGTAGGTTCCTAACAGACAGCCTGTTTTTGTTTGTTTTCTTCAGGGGGCTTTGCTGCCTTCTCCTCCTGCTTTCCTGCGCTCTGTGAGGGGAAGCCAGCAGCCATCTTGCCCATGAGCATCTCCCAGCCCTGCTTGCCGGTGGCCAACGTCGGCCCGACGCGTATCCTACCCCACCTGTACCTGGGCTCCCAGAAGGACGTGCTGAACAAGGTGAGGGGAGCTGGAGGGCTGGGGGCGTTACTGTTCTCTGCGTGAGCTCCACCTCATCGTAACATGTTCAAGTGGGGTGGGGGGAGACGAGGGAATTTAATATGTGGTTCCTTTAGTTACAACAGACACCTCTAGAGTGAGAGTTGATATCTCTAGGAACATCGGTCCGAAGCAGAGGGAGCTCGGTCACTCCCAGTATTCTCGGGGGCTTATTCAGCCTGGTCGAGTCCTCATCTGTTGCACTTCAGCTTTCTCTTGGCTCTGAGGACACGAATGCTGTAGATTTAACAGGTGTAATTAACTTCATTATGGTGTATGTGCAGGGAATAAAAACACACCAGGCTGTGTCAAACCATACAAGCTTTTATGGCTGTATGATATATACATATATGATATGATCTCTCTATTTTTGTAACAACACACTTGGACTGGAATGGGCTTTTGTGGTTTGATTAGACCATTGATGCTGCCTAACACCTGCTAAGTGCCAAACAGAATTAAATTAGCTAGTTCCTGCTCGCTTGATGGTTGCCATGGCAATTTTGTAGCTCATGCAGGTTGCTTCTTACACCTCTTTATTTAACATGAAATGAGAGTGTGAGCTCGTTTTATTAATGTTTCTTGTCCTCTGGGACTCCTCCTAGGCGTGCTGTAGCAAGAAGAAAAACATGAAACTTTCATCATATGTGGTGTATGTATAAGAAATCTATACATCTGAAAATCATGCAACTGAAAGGGTTTTGCAGGCAGATACACATATACTTATTTCTATATTGATGTTATGTGAATGGGATTTCCTTACTGCAAAGCTAAGTAATACAGATACAGGATGAAATAGTTCTGCTCCTTAACAGTTTTTAAAGGTTTGATACTCCCAGTATTGCACTGAAGGGATCTTTAGAAAAAGGTTAGAGATGATTGCCATGCCATTCCACTGTCTGGAGTGCAAACATTACTTGAAAATGAATAGAAAAAAACAATTCTGCTTCCATGTCACACTTCCTTGTTCATACATGAGCACGCTAATTGCCAAAATGTCAAGGGAGGTCAGTGCTCTTTAAAGCTCTTTATCACTGCACTGTATCTCTGATTCATGCTGTGAATACCTCAGTGTTTTTCCTTTGTTGTGACAAGCAGCTTTGATGACGTTGCTATCAGCTATGTGTTAGTCACGCATTATAGGTGATCCTAATCCATTTCAGACCTTATCCTGAATGTTTGGAACCTTATGGTTAAGCAGTGTTATGAAACAGGCTGCTAAATCCATGGCTTGCTCCCTCATAGATCAAGCATAGTGATGCTTTTCATGGTTAATGGGCCCCTGGCGTATGTACTGCAGGTGTTTATTCGCTTCTCCTCGTGTCACTGCAGAGGAGGTGTTTTTGTGAAGCGTTACAGGCACTGACCTGCGTTCCAGTGTGTAGTACTGCAGCAGGGCGCCCTGGCTAACCCGAGCCATTCTCCTGGTTCTCCCACAGGACCTCATGGCACAGAATGGCATCACGTATGTCCTGAACGCCAGCAACACGTGTCCGAAGCCAGATTTCATCTGCGAGAGCCACTTCATGCGCATTCCCGTCAACGACAACTACTGTGAGAAGCTCCTGCCCTGGCTGGACAAAAGCAATGACTTCATTGGTAAGAAAAACATGCAGTACTGCCCTCTCAACCACAATTAATTCCCTGTAAGAGAAGGATGATGGCGTGTCTGTTTTCTCAATGTGAGGAAGCATTTTTTCCTCTAAATGAGTCAAGGACCTTAAGACACCTGGCTGACAATAGCCTGCATAGTAGGTATATAGACCATGTACCATTTATTAGACTAACGAGAACACTGTCAGCCAAGACTGTAAGGCAAGACAAGGCTGTCATTTTGAAACAGACTTGGGTGGTTCAATGGTTTCATTCATTGCCGACTTGTAACTAAGGCCTGGGTTTGATTCCAGATGACGATTCAGGAGGAAATTGCTATCCTGGTCTCTCTACACCAGAGAATATTTGTGTCACAGAAGCAACAGGAAATTTGTCCCAGCGTGGTACATGCTTGGACAAAAGATATATATTTTTTCTCTTATTCTCCACAGATTCAGTGGCATTCATAGAGCAGCAAGACGTTTCTTTACTAAAACCAACAGATGTACCATTCATTTTCAAATTCGCACTCATTTGGGAGTATAATAACCATGCCACTGTTTCTCAGAAAGGTTCTCCTTGCATGACAAGACACATGGTATCTTGTGCTCCACGGTGTAGTGAAGGAAGCATTACTCAGATCTTTTAAAAATACCAACTCCAGGAAAGGAGTGAAGAGACTGCTGCATAACTGTAGTCCAGTCACTGACCTTGTGCTTTCCCACATAGACAAAGTCAAGGTGTCCAACTGCAGAGTCATCGTCCACTGCTTGGCAGGCATTTCCCGCTCCGCCACCATCGCCATTGCCTACATCATGAAGACCATGGGCCTCTCTTCAGATGACGCATACAGGTAACTCCTCACATCTTCTGAGTCTTCTTCTCTGTCATCCCAGTCGGATCAGAGCAAGGCTCGTCTTCTGTCCTCACTGGGCCTTCTGGGATTCCCTCTGGCTAGAGAGCGATTAAATGAGATCCACAAAACCCGAAGATCATGGCCCTCAAGGCCCTTCGAAGACCCTAGACCTTTCTCCTAGAGTTTCAGTTTTACAGATAACTGACTTTTTACGTGGCAGCAAAACTAAAAATGTAGTTTTCTACTGTAGACAAGTCTTCAAAATACGTTTTAAATCTGAACAAAAAAAATGTGTATTAAATATTTTAAATAAAATGTCTATTAAAGCCCTTTTCACAGGATGTAGCACCGAGCCTGACCGTTAGTACTGGATTGAGCAATATCAGTAGAAAGCTGTTGACCATAAACAATAATGTACACATCAGGACGTTGTGTTCTGTTTCCCTTTTGAAGCCAAAGGAAGGCAGTGTTTACTCCAAGATGGGCTCAACAAAGATTGCATGTATTGTGCTCATACTTAGCAGAGGAAAACTAAACTCTGTTTTACTGTCCTTAAGGTTTGTGAAAGACCGGAGGCCCTCGATATCACCCAATTTCAACTTCCTGGGGCAGCTGCTAGAGTTTGAGAAGGGGCTGAAGCTGCTCAAAGCCTGGTCCGCCAGCCCCAGCAAACCCCTGGCGGAGAGACGCGAGGAAGAGGCGGAGCAGAAGGGCCTGGAGCCCAGCGCTGGGCGTCCTGGAGGCCTGGAGAATGGGGGCACGGCGTGGGAGGCTCCGGAGACAGAACCACAGTCAAGAGCCCCTGAGCCTGAGCCAGAGAAAGGGGAGTCCAAACTGGCCTCACCTACGTCGCTGCAGCAGGGCCTGAATGGCCTGCACCTGTCGGCGGAGCGCATCCTGGACACCAACCGTCTCAAGCGCTCCTTCTCGCTGGACATCAAGTCGGCCTACTCCCCCAGCCAGTGCCCCAGGGCCACCCCGGTCATAGCTGTCACGCCCATGGCCTCGGAGGACGTCCCCAAGCTCTGCAAGCTGGACAGTCCCCGAGCCGCCAACGGTTTTTGCCAGTTCTCGCCGGTCCTGGACAGCCCGGGAGCAGGAGAGGCGAGCGGGGAGGCCAGGGCGCGGCAGCGCAGGAAAGGGAAGCACAACAGCAGCGCTGGGAGCTCCCCAGCCCACTCCCTGAGCTTGAACTTCGGCCGGACGGGGCCCGTGCACAAGAGCCCCAGCCTGGATGAGAACCTGAAAGCATCGCTCTTGCTGACCCTGCCCGGTGGCCACCAGCCGCTGGCGAGCTCCAACGGAGTGTGGACCAAGCACAGGGAGTCCGTACAGGCCACCAGCCCTGGCACCCCCACTGGCGAGAGCCCCTGGTACTTTGGCGCAGACTCCCCGGCCGCTGGAAGCTCGGTGCACTTCGGGAGCAGCTCGGCCTACGTATCGTTCGGATGCAGCGGGCTGGCCGGCAGCTGCGAAGCTGTCCGGCTCCGGGAGAAGCCCCAGGAGCACCGAGACTCTCGGGGGAGCTGGCACGAGGACGGCGCCCCCGGCGCAGCGGACAAGCAGTACAAACGGCGGAGCTGCCAGATGGAGTTTGAGGACGGGATCTCCGAGACTCGGGCCAGGGAGGATTTGGGGAAGATTGGCAAGCAGTCAAGCTTCTCCGGGAGCATGGAGATCATCGAGGTCTCCTGACCCGCAGGCCGAGGGAAAGGAACTGTGTAACCGGAACAGGGATTTGGGGTCGGGGATGGGAAGGGGTGGTTATTTATAATATAAATCTATTTTATTTTGTTTGCATTTACGATTCAAAGAGAATGACGTCAAAGGACAAGTCTGTGGTCTCTGTCTCTGAGCGTGCCAGGAAAGGGGGGGGGCGGAAGCAGTCCGTGGCCTCTTTAAGAAGGAAAGAGGCTTCAGAGCTCAGAGCGTAAAGAGGGGCAAGATGCCAGAAAGCGATTACCTGGAGGCTTCCTCCACACCCATTCAAGTTCAAGTGTATGTTTCAGGAAAATCTAAAATCTTCCATCCAGGCGTTCCCCCTGGGAATCTTTACAATCCGTTTGTGTTTTATTTTGCTGCTTTATCATACCATGGTGTCAAAAGAACACTAATTGGGGCTGTATTTCTGTCTTGATGACGTTGCTGTGTAATGGTGTCAGGTCTGGGGGACGCCATGCCTCAGCACAAGGAGCGGCATTGGACTTTGAGGCCCTGCGGTACCTGAGCCGCGATATTCTGTGGTACTCTGTTAATATGAAGGATTACTCCTTAGGGAGAGTGGGTTTCCCCCCTGCAACTCTTGTTTAAATGAAGAACGAATCAAGCCATGCCGAGTTTTAATGCCCAACATGGTATACCCTAGTGAGAAGCGTTCGGAGGAAGTGCTCACGTGACCCCTCTCCCCTCACCCAGTGTTTGTTTTTGTGTTTGGGAATGACCCTGGTGTTTCAATATTTGGTGATTTACAACAGAAATTCTTTGTTGGTGTTTGAAGTCACATGTGCAGCAGGTGTTTATTATTCCCAGCAAAGCAAATTCTGAGAGACGCTGCCCACACACGCTTCCTGCTTCTCCCTGAAGTATATTCTGAGCATGCTCAGAGCAGTAGGAAACAGAGACACGAGAAGCTGTGCAGAAACAGCACTAAGCTTTATATATATTTATATATATAAAGTAAATAATTTTACTGCAATTTTAATGGACTTTTAATATTTCCTCCAGTATAGTTTTAATTTATTTTATCTGTTCATTCTGGCAATGAGAAATAATATAATGTTGGTGGATTTTTTTGTTTTCTTTTTTACTGTATGGTATTTATGAAAAAAACTACAACACACTCACACACACACATCTTTGAGCAATACAATTTCTCTTTCTCTGTGTCGGCAAGGGAGGCTGATGGCTGAAGCTTAGGGAAGCATCTATGTTTCAGTGCTTAAAGGAAAAAATAGAGGGTCTGCAGACATCGAGAACCTGGGTTCTCAGAAGTGTGAAATTACCGCTTGCAGAAATCCCAAATTCTGAAGTTGTTGCACTTCTGCAGCGCACACCCACGGTACTACCCTTTACCCCAGCTCTTGCAACTTTTAGGACTCATTGGGGCTTTAATTAGGTTGAAGTGGAGCTTTCTGGAACACTGCGTCATTATTGTGTTTACAACAGACAAGACACAATTAAGGGTAACAGGGAGAATATCACATTATTTGTGCCCTTTTTCATCCATTGTTTCTGCGTTGTATTTATGAATTTATTTATTTGGTAACTGTTAGCTTGTCAGGATAGCACCGTGAGGTTTACGAAGAATGACAGACGCACTTTCATGCACAAGTTTCAAAACCAGAATCCAACCCACGCACAGTAAGCTGGAGACACCAGTAGAGTTAGCTCTTTTCAATTCCCACAAAAGAAATACTTTTGATGGTGGGCGAAAACCAACCCCTACAGTCTTCCAAGCTTTTCTAGTATGTTAGTAATGCTGACCAAATGGCTTGCAGTGTGGTGTTGTTCATCCCAATAGGTGTTCCGATTTGAAAAGTCTGTTGGCATAGTCTAGAAACTAGTGTAGGTGTGTAGTATGGAGAAGGCTGGCTAGTGTCAGCTTTGCTAGTTCACAATCTGGGAATCTACAGTGCTGACACTGGTAAGCTTCTTTGTATCAACAAGTAAAGTTCGAAGTTAAATTTGATGTGACCAGCTAGCATCTTTAATATTTGTTCATCTGTGCCCATTGTTTTAAATGCAGCCTTATAATGTGCCAGTACAGTGAGTGCAGTTCTTTCTTCTAAAATACTTAGATCTGTATCCTTTAATACTGTCATGGAATGTTAAAATGGGAGTTACAAAAGCTATGAAAACAAGACGTGCTCCTCTTTAGTATTGGCATTTTCCTACCGAAACAGTATTGTTCCACCATCTTTGGGACTTCTTAATTTGGGAATTGACGTAAATTGAGCTGAACCTCAGGAAGTATAGTAAAGAGCCTCGGCGCTGTGTTAAGTCTGTGTCCTTTAGTCCTTTAGATCTTCACAGCCGCGAGCTGCTATAGCTGACACTGAAGAGAGAAGTTTCAAACTTGGGATCTATAATGCTGCATATATTTTCTGGGAGAAAAACATCCAAAGTTAGGTTGATTGTAAAACCATTTCACAAATCTTCAAAAGTCAAAACCCCTGTCAGTGTTCAGATTTTCTGTTAATTATATCTGTTAGAATAATAGTACAGTTGTTATTCCTGCTTACCTGGGCTACAGTGAAAGCTGGATCTTTAAAGCAGCCGTGACTAAACTTTATTGAAGGAGTTGCTGTCTTGAGACCAAAGAGCATTTCCACATCAATTCTTAAAAGGTTTGCTGATCGGCTTCGTATGGTTACTCATTTTAGCTATAAGCTACAGCAAGAGGCATAGATGGAGATGTGTAACCTAAGCAACTGCTCACTTTGGTTCGAGAGCATTTCTGAAAGTTGACAAATCTGAAGTGAGACCTTAGGACCTACCCAAAGAATTTACCCTGTGCTTAGGTTAATCTCCCCTGATTGCTTTCACTCTCCCATTTGGTATTTTTTCTCTGACCAGGAATAAAAATGCCGAAATATTATATCTTAGCCAGTGAACTTACCTTCTTTCTCGGGATGAAGAGCATTTCCTGCTGCAAGCCATACATGACTTGCGCTTGCCCAGCATTGCCTTGCCCGGTTCCCTGGGAAATGGGCTCCCTTAAGCTGTGTCCCCTGTACAGTATACACTGGTGTTCCTCAGTCTTGGTTCTGGAGGGCCAGACTCCTGCAGGTTGCATGGGTAACCACAAACCCCAGGAAACTGTAGGAAATAAAAGGCTGATTTCCTGTGAACTGATTGACAGCTCCAGGAACATTAAGGCCCTCCAGAAAAGAGCTAAATACGCCAGGCCATAAAGTATTCCCCCACCTCCCTCGCCCGTAAACACCCACTCAAGGATGCTACATCAACACTTGTTGTTCTCAGGGTAATTCCCCTTAGGAAAAGCCTCGATGACAACATCAGCACAATTCAGGTTTCTCTGTCCAATTGCAGACATAAATGTGAGGGATTTTTTTCTGTGCTTTAAGTGAATGGTAATGCTCTCCTAGAGTGCTAATGATTTTTCTTGATAGGATTTCTGTATGGCAACCTTTGACTTTGACTTTTTTGTGAGGCTGTAAGTTAACACCTGGAATGACTCATTATTTTTACTCTGTGAGAGATGTTATTTTTTCCTTTCTTTTTTAATATTATTGTTATTTAAAAACCATGTAATGAAAAGATGCAGGCTATCCTGATTATTATTATTATTATTATTATTGTTATTACTGTTGCTGATGTTATTGTTATCTTATTGTAAATAGCAATGTATCTAAAATGGATGAATTTAGGTAACTTTTTTGGAAAAAAAACATCCGATACCTTAGGCTGCTTGACGCAAAATACCTCAGGATCTATTGAAAGGCTTTTTTCCTCCCCTTGTACCTGTTTTGTGAAAATGAAAAATGAAATATACAAAAAAGAAAATTTCATCTCAGGTTTGTTTTTAACTTCGAAAAAATGCCAGTAAAATGAAAAAATGAAAACAAAGGTGCAATATTTTTTTAACTTTTATAAGTATTCTGGAGTAGTCAAAAAGGGGATAAACACAAGAGTAGCGGAGAAATCTTTTCTACTTTTCCACACAGCACAAATTAATCATTCTGGAGCATCAAAGCGTGGACTGATGGCTTTTATGAACATAGACGGAGGGATTCAGGCAGAGATCACCACCTGTTGGCTACAGACAGTATCTCTCATTGGTAGGATCTCAGAGTAATGACTTGATACAGAGCTACCAAAAGACTGAATAGAATGGAAGAACTCTTATAGCCACAGTGCAGTTTGGAACGTGATTGCACCAGAAGATAGTTTCGTACAGATTTTCTTGCAGTGCAGAACCTACAGATGTATGCTCATGCACAGCCGTATCAAGACAGGAGGCTAGAGAAACCCTGAGCTCTTCTGGTGCCTCCTCGGTGTTAGATCATCGAACCTTGAACCAGTCTCCTGACCTGTCTGTGCTCCCTAATTCACATCTAACACAAACAAGGTGCCACTGTCACACCAGTGGATACTGTTACACACTGTTCACTCCCTAGCCTCTTTATTTAGGTCACCTTAGAGAAAGTATAAGTTGTGGTGTAATTGAGTAGAATTATACACTGGTATGTCAGCCTACACTACATTGTTAGTAAGACTGTTTTTTTTAGTCTAACATGTCCAGACATGCACATTTTCTGCTGGTTCATAACCACAGTTTCCACAGTCAAAGAGCTACTCTGTTGCAGGGTGCTTGAACAGCAAGAGGAAAGCTATGAAAAGAAAATGGTAAGTTTCAAACTCCTTCAAATAATCGCTAAATTAAACCTCCTTCCAGGTGTTTATGGTTATCAAGTTATTGTGTCAGCTTACTCAAAACGGACAATCCTTTCCAAGAATTCCTATGTACTGGACTCTACCTGTAGACATGGAAAATGTCTACATACACTGTATATAAGGCAAGTAGAATACCAAACTTGGGAATATAAACAGCACAAGCTCAATCAGATCTAATTGTTTCCTCTGTCTCCAGATTGGCAACCAGAATGGTTGTCCAACACTTCTCCAAGACTCTAGTAGGCAGTAGAATGGCCATAGGAAGAAATTGCACTGTTTTTACGGCAGCAGTGAAGTCAGAGAAGGAATGGAAATACCATGTTGAACATGATTGACATGGAAGGAAATGCATACCTTTTCATAAATTAATGGTCTCTGAAACGTATACAGGTGAGTGACAGTTTCCAGCAACGGTTTCCCCCCACCATAGAAATCCCACCTCTTCCAACTCTTGTGTGTGCAGGGTTGACAGGCGGGTTTTGAGGTTTTTCATTGAGTTGGCCTGGCACTGTGGAGTGGAAAAGTGACCTTTCCATCACTCAGGACTGCCGAAGGAAATTATTTCAATTTAAAAGTGCCGGAAGAGGATGTTGAGGGGCCTCAGAAGGGCCTCCAGTGCTTCTCTGGCGACACAATAGCCCCACATGGTGAAGACTTCTGCCTCCCCAGAGCAAGAACAGGTGAAGCTCTGGAGGACATGACACGTCTGGGCGCAGGTTTGTTTAAAGTCCAGAACATACATGCAGAAAGTCCACACTATTAATACAGGCGCTGTAACATTCCACTTAATAAATCCAGTAGCTCACTATTTTTGGTCCTGGACTAAAGGAATTTTTATTATTTATGTCCACCGACTGTTGAATGGAAAAACCCTGAACAGCCTCTACACAAAGCACGATTAATCCCTTTTAAAAGAGCTGGCTTGCTCTGTAATATGGAAATATGTGGTAATACTCCCTAGAGTTTTTTCGGAGTGTTTACCTGGGTTAATATCTGGCCAAAGAGGACACACAGAAAGTTTAGAAATTCCTTTCCCCTCACATAAAATGTTAATGTTACTTTTCCACCTGAAAAGTTCATACTTTTTAGGTGGGCTGGTGATGTATAAATGTTTTTTAAAAAACAACAGGAGGGGAAAGAACACATGTATGATTAACATCACTGACTGAGAAATTAGCTTGTGAATAACTCCCAATGAGTAATTTTGCCTTGTCTGCAAATACAGTCTGTAATTCTTAAAGCCACTTTACCCAGTTTGGGTAATTAAATTAAATTTGGTCTGCTCCCTGCTTCCCTCAGAAGAATTTATTTTGTTACCTCTGGCAACCTTCTGATTTCTGAGAAACAGGTATTTTTTTCAGACAATATCCTTGTGTCTTTCCATG